TAGGCACTACAGCTTCCCTAAAGGGATATGTGTACCTAAGGATATCAGCTCAAAACAGAAGGAGGAGGGAAGTGTTTTGGTTTTGTTGTTTTTTTTTTTTTCCCCAGAAACTGAGCAGGCAGCAGTAATTGCTTGTAATATTTCTTGCCTGAGCCCTAGATGGCACAGCCTTCCTCAGCTGTTTAACATGTGTCTCTCAGGTTTGAGAATGATGATGAAAAAAGCAAAGCAGAATGGATGAGAAAAGTTTCTATGGACTGAGCTTGGCCAGGTAGCAGATAGGAAATGGAAAAAGAAATTTTCAGTAGTCAAAGAGACTTGATACTGATGAACAGAAGCATAAAGACAGGTATAACAAACAGCACTCACCGAGGCCTTGTTCCAACAGAGCTGTTGTTTTTGCTGTGCTTCACCCTCTAGCACCCCACTCTACTGTAATCACATCAACTCAAACTCACCGAGTCTCACAGACTTTGGGGATCTTTTCCATTTAGGAGGAATGTTTTACTAAAAGAGCTGCTAACAGGTCTGGCTGACTGCAGGTGAAAACAGTGATCTCTAATTGCCAGTGGCCTTTGATCCTCCCTAAGAAAGGGACTGACTACTGTGCCACCAAGATTTGACAGGCTTCCAAGGAAACAAACCACCATGGGAAATTTAAATTAAGTTTTTGTGCTACATCCTTGAACAACAAGCACTCTTTCAAAATAATTCAGAATTTCTAGGATTGTCTTTTTTTTTTTTTCAAGAAGAAAATCAAGTGGGTTTTTTTTCAAATGTGCTAAACAACTTATTCTCACTAGAAAGGCAGAGCTTTCTTTACACTATTTTTTGAAATTGATAAAGCAATACATAGCATGTTAAATAAATCCACTATAACAAAAAGATCAGCACTACTGTATTCCACAAGCCACATGCATCTGAAACGAAGGTCCTTTTTAGGCATCCTTGAGAGAGAAGGTGGGGGGAGTGAAGGTATTTTTCCAGTAAATATCTTGCTTGCCCTCTGCAAGGGTGCTTAACTTGCTCCAGTGGACTTCTCTGCAAGACTGAAGTATTTAGATCTCACCCAAAAGTGTGAAACAAAACCTTTAAAGGCAATAGGTCTTTTCCTGGTGAGAGTTCACAGGGAAGACATATCAAAACACATAATACCACCTGCTGAAATAATGACAGAGGAATCCCTGAGTGGATCTGTCTGAAGATCCATTGCTAAGCTCATTGGTCCTTCCAGCGGCTCCTTCATCTTTCTAGTTAAAGAGGCTCAGTGTCAGACAACAGGTCTAATTATTTTTTGAGTAAGCAGATGCGGATTTCTGGTTGTGTCATTGATCTATACAGACAAATGAAATCAGCAGCACTGAAAAAAACTCCTTGAGTGATAAACAGCATACAAAAGGCCACGCCAACATCCTTGTGGAAAACCTTGTGGAAAACCACAGTTCTTTCCTTTAACCACTGTTTAGAGTAATAAGCCATATCTAATTGCTGCAATCACAAGAAAAAAATATGGTATTGGGTGGTTCTGAAACCATTAGCCTTGTATATTACCTCCTGATTCCTTCCCACTTGCAGGATCAGAGTGCAGTTATGGTAGTAATGGACGGGGCAACGGAGCTCCTGAAGAGCAACATCTTCTCTCCTGGGGCTCTGGGGAAATACAGGAATTCCTTGGCTCACTGCCTCCATTGTTCTTCACACTCAGGGAAAAAAAAAAAAAAAATCACTTTTAAAACTGACTCCCACGTAAAAAGGTACCAGTTATCACAAGTGCCTCTGTCAACACAAAGTTGCTAATGACACTTTCATGCTGTCTGACAAAAAGACCCTAACGCTATGTATTCATCTGTGATTCAAAGATAAATTATATTTTCCATATTGTAGCTGTACTTCATGCACAGAGCAACAACAACAAAAATTATTTAGAAGTGACATCTTATTTTTTGTCAAAAAACCCAGTGCAGATCAGAACTCCTGAGGGCAAACATCCGTACAAACCTATGAAAGCAAGACAGCCTCCCCCTGCACACACCTCAAATAAAAGGTTACTAGCAGGCTCTCTCTCAATCTCCATAAGAATTGCTTTTGCCTCTTTAGCCAGAACATAACCACCACTTTACTCACTTTTATACAAAATTTCAGTCTGCTTTCTGTTGGTGTATTCAACAGTTTCACATGCAGTCTGTGTCACATTCTAGTGTTGAGAGGCGCAGTTTTTTGTACAGCTGCATGAATGAGATGTCTGCATCTGTGGCCTCCAACTCAAAGATGGACTGACATCAGGTAATTAAATTCCCTCTAAAACTGCTACTCCAGCTACACAAGTGGTAACTAAAGGCCCAGTTATAACCAAGTTTCTAAAAGAGGCAATTCCTGTTGGCTAAGTTCCTTGCAAAGGGCAGTCTGTCACGAGTGGCCAGTGAGATACTCACAAGCCCACCTGGATCCATCAAGAATTTTTCTTTGTTTTCCTTACATGAGTCTGTGTACATTTTTCCTTGTAAAGCTATAAAAGTACATCAATATTCGTTTCTTAATTTTCAGTTATGAAGTGCACAAATGACTAACATAGTGCTATATAGTGCGTCATATTGCACTATAAAGTCCAATACAGATGGTTCAGATTTGGGGATCAAAGCAAGTGATGTTTCTGGGTACTTAAAGTTGGATGAGGGCAAGAAATGGTAGTCAGGCACCGGAGAAACCAGGTGAAGAAGAGTTCAGGAGACAGCTGGCTCACCATAGCACCTTCCGTAGTATCCAGCCATTCCACAGGAGGCTGGCAGTGCTGGCCTTGACAAGTATTTTGGTTTGATAGACCCCAAAGATGCACAGGACTTTGACCTCTCTAAAAAGCACAGCTGGCAACCTCAGATAGAGTTCAAGGTATAACTACCCTTCCTTGAGTTTTTATCCCACATAATCCTACTGCCAGGAGCTGACTAGCAACAACAAAAGTTCATACTTTAGTGTCACCAACGCTGTCTTGAGCCCTCAGAACAAACTAAACTTAGTGGTGCTCAATGAACCGAATTCCCATTTGCAAACATCAGTTAATTGGCTTCACAAGCAATATGCTGCTAAAGAGAGAAAAGCAAAGGGCAACAGGGAAATTATACAAGTAACATTCAACACTTAATTAATCCTTCTGCACCATGTTATTATTTATAGTCCTCTCTGGGTTGCTGAGGAGGCAACTGCTAGGCAGCTGCTTTCTTCCACCCTCCCTTCCCACTGTGAAATCCCAGGGCTCTCTCATCAACCCCACCAGTACGAAAACCCCCTTCGACCTGCAGCGGATAGTGTGACTGGTCTTTGGTGGCTCCCACTACATTGCTAGCTGGTTGAGCTCACTGTGCCGCTGGTAGGGACTCAGACACAGACCAATATGATCATGCTGTAGCCATTTATTATGCCTCGATTACACACTTTTATACAGAACTCATGCAGATTTCGCAATTACTAATTGGATACAAGGATTTTAAAATCCTAAAGACAAAGTTACTATTGGCTAACTTTGGTCCTGGGAACGGGACCCTTAGCATTATCTAATCATGCTGATTGTTTACCTTCAGTTCCTCCTTATCTCACTCACATTCTGTACAATTGCTTTCTTTCTCGTCCCTTGCAGGTGTTATTTTCTCCTGTAGTAGAAATAAACTACATGAGGACCTTCTTCTAAAAAAGGTTCTGTCAAACATGAGTATTTTTCTCCTAAGAAGATTCTTACAAACATAAGTATTTTTCTTCTAAGAAGGTTCTCATAAACATAAGTATTTTTCTTCTAAAAAGGTTTCCCACATCACTGCTACAGCTTTGCTGGCATCTGTTCTTATTCCAGTGCTTAGTGAGCACTCTTGTAAGCAACAGAGCACACAACCTTATTGCTGCTTACAGGAAAATGTTTAAACAGACTTCTCATCTCCTGCTTACAGGAACTGAAATTGATTCTCCTGCTCCTTTCTTTTTTGCTCTATGGCTCTTGTTCTCCAAAGCTAAATGATTACTTAAGGAACAGCATGATTTATGGGCTAGGAAAAAAAAATCAAAATAAATAGGAAGGAGACCCTCTCCCCACTTCTCCCAGATTAGTTCATGGAATGGGACACAGGGGTCCTTGCCGTACTCACTTTGAAGCAGGAGTTTGATCCTGAGACCCTCACATCCCAGATAAATTCCTGAGCCACATAGCTTTGCTTGTCCTTGAGCTGATGGGGGGAATCCTTTTTAGAAGATCTATTTCTGTGCTAGAGAAGAAGAACATCAAACCCCAAAATGTTAGTATTTGTCGTCAAAAAAATCTTAAGTTATGATCTGCTCCTTAAGGTTCAGTGACTGTATTTTCAAGATGGTATTAGCAAGCAGGAAAAATCTGCAAGAGATCATTCCCTAGTGGAGACACGCTCAGCTGTGGAAGCCCTTGGGGCAAAAGAAAACACAAAACCCAGCAACAGCATTAGTAATTTCAAAGGCAAAAAATAATGGGCCTGAATCAACCTCACAAGGCAGAGCTTTTAAGTTATACTTCTGACACTTCCTGTGTCATTAATGTTGGTTATTTCCTCCACAAATGAAACACTTAAATGTTTTTTTTATTATTATTTTTATTTTACTGGAATAAGCCTTTACGTACGTGTGCATGAGGAGAGGTGGAGGAAGCTGTTCTTTAAACACCAAAAACACCCCTCTGTCTTCTGGGAGAAGCTGAGAGGATGGTAACTCCTCCCATAAGCTGTAAAGATAACTAACCCTTGACACCTCTCTGAAATGCCCCTCCACTAATCCGGGCAGCATGGGGAGCAAACAGGAGGAGTCAGAAGTGTGTCTGCAGGTACAGGGCTAGGCCCTCACTGGGATCACAGAGACATGGTGGGATGGCTCACGCGACTGGTGTGCTGCAATGGAGGGATATGAGCTTTTAGGAAGAACAGGCTGGAAGGCGAGGAGAGGGAGGTTT